AAACTCAACCTACGTTTTTAAAATAATTGTAGTCAAAACTTAATATCAATTTTGATTAGCTTGGTAGTTTCGGTGACCAATCGCGACCATTTGTGTACGTTTCGAATTACCAAGCAGTGTTTCATCAAGTTGCATAAACGGTTCATTTAACACGGCGTATCTGTCGGGCAAATATACGAAGTGAATTCGGACGCTTTCCGTATGAATATTTACGACTCCGGCGAGTGCTTGCATATTTTTGTGTATCGCAGGGAACAATCGCGAGATGCTCCCTCTCTCTCTCTCTCTCTCTCTCTCTCTCTCTGTGTATTTAACCCTGGCTGTCTGTCTCTGTTTTTATTCTAATTTCCCCGAGCAGGTTAAAGGTAACGATTCAAATGATAACGAAGAGAGCCACCGTTGCCACGGCTCTCTCTTTATTCAATGATATTTCACCGGCGGCGGAATTTTAATGGGCGGGATTTTTCCTTTATTTACAGCCGCGACCCAGTTCGATTTATAACAGACGGCACTGGGATCGGTCATCCTGGCCATTAGCGCCAGGTAATTAGACGCCCGGTTTCCAGTTTACACCGCGACGAACCAGGTAAACGCGCTGGTTTTCACGGCTTTCTCGTCTGTCGTTCAGAAAAATTCGCGGACGTTCAACGTCACGAAAGTTGTGTGAAAAACTCTGCGGGGGGATTCTCGTGCTCGTTTGTCTGTTACTAGTTGAACGTTATATATATATATATATAGGAGAATAATTAAGCAGTGGAATTATCATTATCAATTGATTTTCGATTATTCGAATATACAGCTTAATCGTGTACGTATACATTTGAACTATGTGAGCAATTTATATTTTTAAGCACGTACGTTTGCCTCAAATAACCTGTTTTATACGTGTCCTCGTCTAAGCGAACTATCTTTCATTTCCATCTATGAAGATACTATTAAAAGATAAACTGAAATTGAATGATAAATTAAATATTAAATATTATTGAGAGTATAATGTTAGAAAACGTACGATTAGCTACGTGAAAAATAGCGAAATCAGTATTATCAGATAACTTGGATAACGAGAGAAATTTTTACCTATATGGTTGAACGAAATGTACGAAAATGCTCTTGAATTACATACCAGGTGATAATGAAAACTTTACAGCATCTACTGATTACTAGACTGAATGCATTCCTTTACGTAATAAACATGCACACTTGAAAATTGTTTAATTTCGAGTCGATCACAAATTCGATTCCTCCACATCGATTATTCGAGAACACCGCTTATTCGATTTGTCTTTCAATTAGTTCGGATAGTCAACGTTCTATTGTATTTGTTTTAACATAGATTAAAAGATTGGATTTATTTCATCTTCATTTACGTCTTCATTTGTATATTGACTAATATCGACGGAGTATTTTAAGTAGTAAGGTACGTTTATTGCCAGACAATACGTTTGACGCGAAAAAGTTTTCCACTGAAATTTTCAAGATTAAGTGTCTACTCTAACACGCGCAATATCTTACAAAATAAATATTTCCTAAATTACCACAAAAGTGGTTAGAAAGTAATTTGGACGCTGGATTTACCAAATGGGTCATATCCTGTGTTGAAGTGGAAATATAATTACATCAACATGGACAATTGTTAACATTACTGAACATTCCCTCCATCGATGTTCTCTGCCGTCTCATTCGTTTCATTGGAGGATAATAAAGATAATCATCTTTACCTGAATAAATTCACTTCCAAAGGGATCACACGTCCGAAGGAGAGAGAAATAATTCCAATTACCAAGACCGGAGCTCTTTTTTTTTTTTATCTCTCAACGATACTTCTTAATAACGGAATAATACACGAGGAAGGAAAGGGAAAGAGAAAGGGAGTAAAACAAGCGAAGCTTAACGAAGCAACGGACGGAAAAAGTTGAATGGATCGGTTCGAAACGAAATCGGAAAGGAAAATCACGGGAATTCTCGATCACTCTGCGGATAGCGTAATTGATTGCGACATTATGGCCGACAGTGGGGCCGTTTAGCGTGTATATCGCCGATGTTCCGCAGGGAGAATTCAACCCTCTGCCTCGCTATAATTAGGGATGATATTTAATGAAATTCAACGGAAGTCGATCGCGGCAGCCGACGCGACGTATGAAAACGATTTTAATTAGTCGCCGTTAGAGGACTGAAACGCAGCCCGCTTAATTTTGTCCTCCACTTAACATCAAAATTGAGCAACGACCCTGACTTCCTGCGTCAGTTGGCCCGCTCATTAAGAGGATCCAGATTGCGGGTTTCTTTGACTGCAACGTCGCGCTCTTCGACATCGCTGTTTTTACCCAGCGAAATTCTACGATTTTTCGTATTTATTCAATCCTCGCCTCGTCGGTTAGATTGATTTTCACCGCTTTGAAAATATCTTTCGACGACTGTTTGCCAGTGATCTACGCGATCTCGCCAATTATAAATCACGACAGCATGCTCGTGATATTCTCGATCTCTTTGAACTTGAATTCTGTTGAATTTTCGAGTAGACTTTCCTTTCCTTCGAGCTGTTTTAAATGTTTTTTTTTT